CCATTCCCCTACAACAGTAGTGTTTTCTCCCCGCGGTGGCCTCTCCAAGGATCCTCCCTGGCGGCCACCCCCTCTTCCGCCACCATTCCAAGCGCAGACTCAGCCACTAACTCAGATCCCCTTCAGGTGAGTCAACAAGTAGGGGGTGAGTCATCCTGGCCCGGGGTTCCTCATCCCCAGACACCGGCACTCCTTCAACCACAGTCCTGACAAAAACAGACACCCGGTTTCTGCAAAGGGTAGCCACAGAGGAGCCTGGCCCCGAGCAGGAGTGTGGGCCGCAAAGTCCAGTCTCTGGAATCTCCTCTGGGAGCCTCAGTCATTGTAAAATATGGGATTACTAACCCCTCCGTCACTGGGCTGTGGTGTAAAATAGCTGGCACAGTGCAGGGCACGGAGCAGACCCTCAGGAAAGGGTGGAGGGGGAGGGGAAGAGGCATCTGGGAGAAGCTCATCAGTAAGCAAAGCAGCTCCCTGGGGGTGGGAGTGAGCTAGCTCTGGACCCAAGACTGGGAAAGGGAGACCAGGAGCACCCTGACCTCCCAGCGACCCCAAGAATGTTGATGGAGGCCCCGGGCTGACCTTCCGGAGGCTGCTGTGGTGGCGCTAATTGGGGTCTCCGGGTCACCAGCTTCCCACCCTTGGGGGCAGGGGGCTCACTCCCTTCCCCCACTGTTGCCTCCTCTGGCCTGGGCTGCTGCGGCACTGACCTACTGAGTAGGTTGTTGGCTGCAAGCTTCAAAGGAAGCTGGGGGGCAGTGGAGGACAGGGTAGGGAAGGGGGTGGCCAGGAGCCAAACCCCACTGGGGATGAAGAGGCGCAGGTCAGAAGGCAGGGTCACGGTGCCCCCTGCTTCCTAGAGTGGCTTCGTGCTAGGTCCTGTAGGAAGTTTACACTTCACAAGGGTTGCCTGTGTTTCATCTTGCTTTCCTCCCTTCTCTCCTTCCTCCCCCAGCCTACAGTTCAGCCAGAGAAGAGAGTCAACAGATTTGCCTGGAATTCCTGCCCAGCCCCTCCCTAGCTGTGTTACTCTGAGCACGTTGCTTCGTCTCTTTGAGACTGTTTCTTCATCTGTAAAATGGGCGTACTGAGACCTCCTTCAGAGGTTGTTATGAGCATTAGATGAAGGCAAGTGTATAAAGCACCAATGCTGGGACACAGTAGAGACTCAACAAACCACAGCTTTCATTTCGGAGGGTATGCTTGATAAAGTCGAGAGCTGCCTACCTTGGGGGCTGGGAGTGTGAGGATCTTGGGCCCCTAAGAACACAAAGGCGCTTGCTCCCCTCTCAGATGAACTAGCCCTGCCTTTGGTCAGGACCCCTGGGCAGCAGATGCCCAGGTGTACGCAAAGCCTCACCATGCACTTGCGGTCGTCTATGCCCGTCAGATCCTCCTCAAACTCCTCCCCAACCTGGAAGTCCATGATGTAGTTCCTAAAAGTGCTCAGCGTTCGGATGATCATGTGGTCACCGTTCTGCACAATCTCTTTGTCTGGCTTCAGCAAGTTGGCGATTTTGCGCAAGGCCACATTGACATCTGCAGGGAGTGCCGGGGCAGAAAGGAGCAGAGAGTTGACTGGAAAATTCAGAGAACTGTTGCCAAGGTAGCGGGTCCTAGGAGCCCGCTTCTCCCACCCCCACTCCCCTAAGAGAACCATCGGGGTCCTCAGCTCGATTAGCAAGGCCTCTGCGTGCAGCTAGCTGGTCTGTCTTTTTCTTTCTTTCTTTTCTTTGCTTTCTTTGTTTTGTTTTGTTTTTTTTACAACAAAGTTTTCTACCCTTATGCTAACCTTTTGAAAACTAAAGCTAGCCAACCAAGCCCAGCTTTCCTAATGAAATTAGCCACTTCGAGAGCCAACCATCAGGCATTGACCACCATGAACCCTAATAACCCCCGTCCTCCAATTCGCACTTGCTGGCCCCCTGGAGACGCCCCTTCCCCAGTCGGGGGGCTCAGGACGGCGGCTGGGCCGGCGGAGGCAGGCGGGTGGGCGGCCAGCTCGGGAGGGCGCTGGGATCCCACCCCCAGCGGCCCGGCCGGGCGCCCCGGGCAGGCAGGGTCACGGTGCCCCCTGCTTCCTAGAGTGGCTTCGTGCTAGGTCCTGTAGGAAGTTTACACTTCACAAGGGTTGCCTGTGTTTCATCTTGCTTTCCTCCCTTCTCTCCTTCCTCCCCCAGCCTACAGTTCAGCCAGAGAAGAGAGTCAACAGATTTGCCTGGAATTCCTGCCCAGCCCCTCCCTAGCTGTGTTACTCTGAGCACGTTGCTTCGTCTCTTTGAGACTGTTTCTTCATCTGTAAAATGGGCGTACTGAGACCTCCTTCAGAGGTTGTTATGAGCATTAGATGAAGGCAAGTGTATAAAGCACCAATGCTGGGACACAGTAGAGACTCAACAAACCACAGCTTTCATTTCGGAGGGTATGCTTGATAAAGTCGAGAGCTGCCTACCTTGGGGGCTGGGAGTGTGAGGATCTTGGGCCCCTAAGAACACAAAGGCGCTTGCTCCCCTCTCAGATGAACTAGCCCTGCCTTTGGTCAGGACCCCTGGGCAGCAGATGCCCAGGTGTACGCAAAGCCTCACCATGCACTTGCGGTCGTCTATGCCCGTCAGATCCTCCTCAAACTCCTCCCCAACCTGGAAGTCCATGATGTAGTTCCTAAAAGTGCTCAGCGTTCGGATGATCATGTGGTCACCGTTCTGCACAATCTCTTTGTCTGGCTTCAGCAAGTTGGCGATTTTGCGCAAGGCCACATTGACATCTGCAGGGAGTGCCGGGGCAGAAAGGAGCAGAGAGTTGACTGGAAAATTCAGAGAACTGTTGCCAAGGTAGCGGGTCCTAGGAGCCCGCTTCTCCCACCCCCACTCCCCTAAGAGAACCATCGGGGTCCTCAGCTCGATTAGCAAGGCCTCTGCGTGCAGCTAGCTGGTCTGTCTTTTTCTTTCTTTCTTTTCTTTGCTTTCTTTGTTTTGTTTTGTTTTTTTTACAACAAAGTTTTCTACCCTTATGCTAACCTTTTGAAAACTAAAGCTAGCCAACCAAGCCCAGCTTTCCTAATGAAATTAGCCACTTCGAGAGCCAACCATCAGGCATTGACCACCATGAACCCTAATAACCCCCGTCCTCCAATTCGCACTTGCTGGCCCCCTGGAGACGCCCCTTCCCCAGTCGGGGGGCTCAGGACGGCGGCTGGGCCGGCGGAGGCAGGCGGGTGGGCGGCCAGCTCGGGAGGGCGCTGGGATCCCACCCCCAGCGGCCCGGCCGGGCGCCCCGGGCAGAGCGCGGCGGGCAGCGCTTACCCAGCGCGCGCAGGTACTCCTCGAAATTCTCGTTGGCCAGCATCTTCCAGTACCCGGTAAAGTCGACCGGCATTTCAGGGGGCGACTGGGGCCGGAGCGGGACTGAGCGGGCGGGAGCAGATCTGCGCTCGCGGTGCGATCCGGGTGGTGGGCGGCCCGGAAATGTGCGCCCTCGGGGGACAGGGGCTCGTGGGGCGGCGACAGCTGGATTGCAAGCGCGCACAGAGCCAGCGGGAGGATCCACCGTAGCTGTCGCTCCTCCCCCCTCAGCGGGGCGGGGCCGGAGATGTCGGAGGGCCAGGTTGTCCCAGGCCCGGCTCCGCCTAGTTCAGACCTTCAGTTTCCTTCCCTAGGAAGGAAAAGGAGATGGCGGTGGAGGTGAGGGGTGTTTTACTGATTCCAACTTTTCGGTTCCTGCGGGATTTCTTCAAACGCCTTGAACTTCTCACATTCAGCGGCCACTTGAGGGTGGGGAAACATTCTCC